TTGAGGCGACGCCGGTGCTGCGCCCAGGCTCCACACCTTACGCATATGAAGACAGCCTTGACGCTCTCGAAGCTGTCCCCAAGCAGCGCCCCGCACTGGCTGACCGCCACTAGCTTGTGACCTAGCGGGTTGAGCTGGAACTCCTTGAGAAAGCTCGGGGTGCCCCCGCGCCCCGTTATTGGGAGTGGGGCTCATGGTGCATGTACTTGTAGGCAAGCACGGCACTGTACCCCGAGCTCGCCATCATGCCATTGATGCCAGGTAGCCTTGCGCGTGCTAGCCGCGCGTCGATGTGCTGGGGTTCGCCTCGTCCATCTCAGCTGGTCGTCCTTATCGAAGATCGGCATCACGTTCGCCACCAGCCGTGCTACTTTGCCTATCCTGCTGGCGGCCGTCTCCATGGCGTCGACCATGTCATCATCAGGCCTCGGGTGCATGGATGTCGCCGTCGTTGCCCTTGCATCGGCAACTATGTTGGCATCAGTGGGTCGACGCTGCTCGTAGACCATCGCCTCGTTGTCAGTGCCCGACCTGTGCGCCTTCACATGGTGGTCTTGCTGGATGCGCTGGAATCCCTCGAGCGGCTGCGCGAATCGGGCTACGCACGCGTAGGGCGTATTGCCGGCGAGCTGCTGCTCCCTTCCCTTGTTGCCCAGCTTGGTGTCTCCCATGAAGTCGGCGTGGTCTTGGCAGGAGCGTCGGCGATCTGGGAGACGAAAGCCGCGCCGAGGTGCTCTCCCATGGCCGAGGACTGCGGCAGGGATGCTGGGACAGGCGCATGGATAAAGCAGAGCGCGGTGCTTGATCGCGGGCCGAGGACATCAATGCTCCATCCTGCACGCTGGAATTCCCGTATAGGCGGCTTGGCGCAGGACACGTCAATCGCAACCTCCATGCTGTCATCATCATCGCGAAGGGAGCTCCGCACCATTGACTCTGGCGTGGCGCAGCTGTCTAGACCTTGGCTGTCTAGGATGGCACAGTGGATCCAGAGGTTGGACCGAGGAGGACTGATAGGCGAATGCCCCTTGCATGCACCCAGGATCATCTCCATGCTCCCGAAGTTGCTCCAGTAGATGATCAGGGACCTCAGCATCTTCTCGGGCCTGCAGAACATCAGGCCGAGTACATTCGAGTAGGCGATGAAGTAGGGCGTCCTGTGATCCGCATCGGCAGAGCCCCTCGGTGCGGCACCCCTCTGGATGTGCGCGAAGCTGCGTCCATACTCCGTTGCGCGCCGCATTCACGATGCAGGACTCCTGGTGGGCCGTGCACCGCTTGCTCTTGGAGGAGATGAGAGGCATGAGGATGTCAAAGGTCATCCGCATGCCCTCGCCGAGGCCCACCTTGCTGGCCAAGGCCTTCTCGTGCTGACACTGAACACCTTCCTGCGACATTACGAAAAGCAGTCCTGGCGAAAGTTGATCCACGTGATCATCGTCGCCACGGTGGCTGCGCCACAGGATGCCTAAAACTGGGCTCCAGCCCGCTCTTGCAATGGACAGGGCTGCTCTCTGCAGGGGGCCTCGTGCTTGTCCCCAAGTGCTACATAAACCTGGCTCGTCGACTGCTCGTCGCCACCGCGTAGTTAGAAGGGCCAGGGGGGCTGTAGCACGCTGTGGCTGTGATATCGCTGACCAGATCATCCGCGACCATTGTAGTGCAGGTGCCATGGCAGTAGCTACTGTGGGATCCCCCAGGAGCGCAGTCCTCGTGGCAGATGAAACGCCGCCATGGCAAGGCTTGCAAAACCGCCCAAAGTCGGTGCGTAGCCTGTGCAGCTCCGTATCTGAAAGACCATTGATCTCCACGCCGTAGGTAGCTGCTGGCCGTACTCCTGCACGGTAGATATTGCCCGCCCGTGCCGTCTGTTGCCCTGGTAGGTGTCGTCGATCGCGCCCTAGCCTGCGCAATCGAAGTCGGTAACTGTCCGAATTCTTGGCGCTGGTGCGCTCGGCTGCCCGTCGTCTGGCCCCCGAAAAGTCGGTGCGTGAGTAGGTGGCCCTCCGTTGGTGCAAATCTGATGGGGGACCCAGTCGCTGCACGACAGACTTGCCTATGTCCGCAGAGCTGGCGACCGCCGCAAGCTTCTCACTGAAGCGAGCACCTACCTGTCGCGCTGCACAGAAGTGTGCCTGACCCGCCTGGACCGCCTGTTCTCTCACTCCCTCCTTAAGTGGCGCCGTTGAGGCCGAAAGAGGCGTCGTCGATCTAGGACGAGAAACGGACCGGGGGATGGAGCGCCACGTAGAGGTCATACTGCCCCAAAGCGTGCGCCTCGATGACCACGTCTGCGTAGCCGTTACCTGCTGGCGGCCCATCTCGCGCGTGTCGAGGTCGGGGGCCATGATGCTGACGGAGACGAATGGTGCGGGGTCCTCGCCACTGGTCGGGAACGACCTTGGTGATCGGCATCGGCATCCCCAGGCGCTGAGCTTGTCGCGGGCCTCATCTAGGGATACCGTCTCATTGTATTTGCCGTAGTCGGCGATGATTGGTGATTGTGCGGCGTCCTCCTGCCGCATTCTGCTCCGCGTCCGCGGCCAGGATCCACGCGCTGTCGATCGCGCCCCTGTTCTTCGCAGCTCCCCAGTACGGTCGCCATAGGGGCTGCTGCAGTTGAAGCGGAGCAGGCATCCGCAGGCGCTGCCACACTCCGCGCGCCATCGAGTGCAGTCTGATCAACCGGTGTCCTCCAGCCGCTCTGGGGGGCATCGGCATCGCCATCCGCGCAAGTTGCGCAGGGGAAAGCCCGAGCGCCCCACATTCGAGCGTGATGTCGCACAGCCCCTCGAACGCGTCATCGCTGAGGTGCTGGAGGTGGGTCGGATGGAACCCATCAAGGCTGCTGGAGGTCACGGCGCTGAGGGTGCCTGCAGCGCGACGGAGCTCAGCTGGAGTCGGCCGCTGCCAACTGGAGCGGTCGGGGGTCCAGGCCTTTGGGGCCTCCGTCGTCGCCCTCTATAACTTTGCGCATTTGTCCCCATGTCCTTGACGACGTAGCGCGGGTGGCCAGTGACGCCGTGCTCCGCGTACCTCATCCTGGACAAATTGATGCCGAGCTGCATTGCGACCGCCTTCATGCGCAGTCACCAGCCCTTGCAAACTGTCTTGTCGCCGCTTCCATCCGTCAGCGATAGGCTGCAGCTCCGTCTCCCCGACGCTCTCGTGCCCCTTCTCAACCCACTGCGGCTGGAAGGCGCGCGCATATGAGTGAGCGCGTGCATCCGTGCTGGCGAGGCGTCCGATCCGCTCCGCAGCACGAACCGCCCAACGACCCAAAGCTTTGGAGAGAAAGCGCCATGCCACCGTAGCCTGCCCCCTTTGGCCATCCTCAAGGCCTCCGTCGCGAAGCTTCGCTCGATCGACCAGCTGCCCCCGCGAAGAACGGGCCGTTGATGACTTGGGAGGTGGGCCGCGGTCCTCCCACGTAGGTCAAATACCTGACCTTGGAGCTTTTTGTCAAAGGCCGCAGTTGGACTGGCCGACGAGGTTTGGTGACCCAGCTGGGATCCGCACTGCGTGGCGCCAACGTGCGCATTGCCCCCTTCGAGAGCCCGAAATAGTCCAGCGTGGACAAGGGAGACGCCGTCCTGCAGGTGGTGCGCCTTGGGAACGCAAGCTCAAGCTGCGCATGCACAAGGAAGGTAGAATCACGAACCACCTGGGCCTCCACGTTCCAGTCGCCCCCCCCAATGCACGGGTGAATCTGGCCTGCCATCGCATTCCCAATCGTCATGGGGATATTCGCGCCGCGGGCGCTCATCCCCTCTGCCGCATGGAGGCAGAAGTTTTAGACGTCGATGGGCGGCAAGCCGGGCAAACCCAAGCCGTGGGCCACAACCGACCAACCAACTCCAAGCCGCGGGCCACATTGGAATGTCGCCAGTGCGCCTCGGAGGGGCATCAGCTGGGTAAGTCGGTCCTCGAAGTCCGACTCCTTCCCTGGCGAAGACTGCAAGCCCTGCTGGGGGAAGGTGCCCTCTCGCTGCTAGCCCTGGAACCGCGAGACATTGCCAGCGGTTTGCTGCCGCCCGACTGCTGAGGGCCTCGTTGTCGTCAGCGCCATGGCCGATCTCCTGCGCCAGAACGACCATGGCAGTCGTGGTGCGGAGCCTGCGCTGGAGAGCCTTTCTACCCTGGTTAGCATTGAATGTCTCAAAAATGCGCGTCGCCATGAGCCTGGTGGGGACCTCCTGCGCAGGGGGCTCGGGCCCATGGCAGATCCCGCTGACGCACGGCGTCGCGTCGCCCGCCCGATCCCCCAGTCGGTGCTTGGTGCTCTGGACGCTCTCGATGGCGGTCTGGAGCTGCTCCTTGGTCCACTCCTAGGCTGGCTGCGCTTGCTGGTTGAGGATAGTCCAGAGGGGCCTCGACATCCGCCTTGGCGAACTCAACCAGCTGGACCGCCTTGGCGTCTCCTTTGTCAGCTCGGCTAGGGGATGTGCCCTGCCCCATGTCGACATCGCCGCCGCTGTGTGGACCGCCAGGTGGGGTCGCACCTCCTTCGCCGGCATCATCATCGTCATCATCGCGATCAGGTATAGGAACTCAAGCGACCACCGAAGCCAGATGCCCATCGACCTTCTTGCATAAGGCCTGCTGGATCCTGGCGAAGTGCTTGTCGATGTCGAAGGCGATGAGGCCCTTCGCCGTGAGGCTGGCCAGCTTCGCCTTCGCCGTCGGCGTCTTGCCGCGAGCCACCAACAACGCACGCTCCAGCCGAACCGCCTCGACCTTGAAAATATCCACTTCCGCCCTGTTGGCCGTGATCGCCTCCTGCTTTTCAGTGATGTTCTGGCTGGTGCTGGCGAGCTGCTCCAAGAGGCCCTTGAGGTCGGCTTCGTACCTGCCGAGCTGCTGCCTGCACTTCGCCAGCTTCTGTGTCGTCGCCTTGTGCGCAGCTTCTGGGGGGCCGCAGCGCACGTGCTTGTCCACGTAATTAGCTCCTCCAAGGCCTTCTGGTGGAAAAGGTGGAGCGGCCCACCGTCCTCCTCCACCTTGCTGCGCTCCTCGAAGGCCTTCTCATGGTAGTTGATATTCGCCTGCAGCACCGCCTTCTGGTGGAACGCGTTCTTGTCGCCATCATCGTGTCCTTTCCTGATGCTGCCGCCGCCTCCTGCCGCTGGGCCACCAGGAGCCGTCGACGAAGGACGCTGCGCGAGGCTGGCCATCTGCTTCGTGAGCGCCCGCAGCTGCTCCTCCAGCCCGCCATTGTACTCCTTGGGCCACGGGGCGGCAGCACCTGCTCGTGCAGGAGGACGGGCTCCCCCTTCGGCGCGACGGTCCTGACCCGCCAGCTTGGCAGCATCGACCACGCGCCGCGGTGCCGACCTCCCGCAGGAGCACGCGATGCGCGATGCCCAGCTTGTTGTCCCTGCCGCACGAGCAGCCCCAAAACGGCATTTTGAGGCCCCGCAGCACGCGCAGCTCGGGCGGCCCAGGCGCCATCCTGCCTGGCGACGGGCCGTGGTGTTCCTGGAGCCGCCGCGCCGCGCGCCACAAGCGTTCCTGCAGCTCGGGCGATGACCCGCCTGACCAAGCGCGGAGGAGGGCGCGGTCCTCCGCGCGGTGCGAACGCGCCCTGTGGTGCGCCGCCGCCCCCCGCGCCAGCGCAGTGGGCGCTGGTCCCAACGCGCGATTTCGGCTCGCGAGGGGGAGTCCTCCCCCTCGCGAGCCGAAGCTGGAGGAGGAGGGGGAGGAGGAGGAGGAGGAGCGGCAGGAGACGGGCTCACGGACTGAGGATGCCGAACAAGAGCAGGAAGGAACAATGGTGGGCAAGAGCAGGCGGACGAGCAGGCCGACACAGTATACGACGGCCGATCTCGTGAGCGGGCGCCAGGATCGGCGCAAGGGGGCGGAGCAGCAAGGATGTTTGCAGCAGGCGCCTGGCTCGAGCCGCAGCGCCGCCCTTCCCCTCGGCAAGGGCTGGGGGAATACCACTCGCCGACACCGTCGTGGCGAAGCTGGCAACAGTCGGCACGGTCATCGTGGGAGGAACGGACGAACGAACGCATCACCAGTGCGGACAAGTGCCCGGGCAGCGTGGGACCAGGTGAGGCCGTAGCCTCGAGATACTGGAATGCTAGTGTCGATGTGTGTTGAGGCACGCACGACGTATAACACGCTGTGCGGGGCCGAGGAGGAAGAAGAGGAGGCATACGCAGAAACCTGCAGCACCCTGCGTGGAGTCCCTGGATCGGCGCTGGGCCCCCCCGGCGCGCTCCGCGCGGCACGGGCGGGGGCACCGCGGCGACCCACGAAGCCCGTGCGGAGCTCCGACGGCCATGTTTGTGCAGGCCCTCCCTTCGGGAACAGAGGGGGGAGGGGAGCAGAGGGAGCAAAGGGGGGAGGCGCAAACGGGGCGAGCGTTGACTCGGGCCCGTCCCTCTACAGGAGGAGAACACAGAAATGGTTCAAAACAAAAAAAACATGGGCACCATTTCTTGCATGTTTGATCATTGTGTTTGATGCGTTCTGATTGTTTATGCGGTTTCGTTCAGCATCCGCTTGTAGGGGGGGGGGCATGCCCGACCTGAGGCGAGCGAGTGGGAGCACAGGCTCCTCCGCGGAGGGGCTCCGCTCCAGACCGCCAGGCCAGATCCATGGATCGGGGGAGGTGCCCTCCCCAACATGCGGCCGGTGCCGCCTCGCTCGGCGGCGGGGATGTGCGATGTCCCAGGGAAACGGGACACGTCGCTATTCCACGCTCCCTTGATCCGTGTTTGCGATCGCCTGATCCTCTGAGCGTTAGGTCGGGCATGTCCCCCTACAGGCCGATTTTGGACGGAAAAAAAACAGTCAAGACATACCCCAGCATGATCAGAAATATTCGAAAAATCGTCCCCCAGACTATCTTTTGACTATATGGGAATATTCCTCCTGCAGCGACATCAGCTGCGCGCGCCTGACCTTCCCCGCGCCAATCTCCGGCGCCGGATGCGGGCGTGCTGTGCCGAGGACCACTGCTGGCGTCGGCACTTTGAAGGGCGGGGCCGAGGGCCCTCAGCTGCGGGCGCCCGGCCTTCCCCGCGCCGGCCCGGCGCGTCAGGCGGGCGTGCTGGGCCGAGGAGGACTTCGGGCGTCGGCGCTTTGGAGGACGGGGCCCCGAGGCACGCCGCGTTAGACAAGCGCGCTCCACGACTCGCAGAATGGCTACCCGCACATGGCCTGGATCCGCCGCGGGGGATCTGCGATCCGTTACATCGAGGCAGCCGTATAGGTCTCGGACGTTTGCGAGCAGGCACTCTGCGAGCAGTGGAGCGCGCTCGGTGAGCCGTGGGCCTCCGAGGCGAGGAGGCCCTGAACCGCGTGCACAGTCAAGCCAGAAGCCGCTTTCGTATCCGCACGTGCACGGTTTCCCCCGTAGCCGTAGGCCACCCGAGGATGATGAGGAGGTGGAGGAGGGGGAGGGGGAAGAGGAGATGGAGGAGGAGGAGGAGGAGGAGGAGGAGGAGGAGGAGGAGGAGGAGGAGGAGGAGGAGGACGGGTCGCCTAAGCCCTGCGGAGAACCCCCCACAGACCTCCGACGTCGCGATGTTTTCGCAGAGTGGTTCCTGGACCCCTCGCCCCGAGTTTTGGTCTGACCGCCCCGGGGTCCGTCGAGGGCCTCCCGCCTCCCGCCGAGGAGGAAGAGGAGGAGGAGGACGAGGAGGAGGAAGAGGAGGAGGAGGACGAGGAGGAGGGGGAGGAGGAGGAAGAAGAGGAGGAGGAGGAGGAGGAGGAGGAGGAGGAGGAGGACAAGGAGGAGAAGGAGGAGGAGGAGGTGGAGGAGGAGGAGGAGGAGGAAGGGCCCCGTCGAGGGCCTCCCGTCTCGGTTCCAACAGAAGCCACGACACCACTGCGGCACCGTGGCCCTGACACTTACACTTAGGTCGGGCATGTCCTCCTACAGGATGGTTTTGAACGAAAAAATCAAACAAATTCCAAACATGGTCAAAGATAGTCGAACAAATCGTCCTCAGGCTATGTTTACACTATTGTTGAATATTCGTCATGTAGAGGGACACGCCCGACTCAAATTTACACGAAGCGGGGGGCCACGAATGGCCACCGGTTTCGCGGGCCCGGGCTTTCCCAGCGGGCGTTGGCAGAATTCGAACAGAACTCCTCGCAGACAAGCTGCTCGCGCAAAAACGCAGGCTCTGTCAGCTACCGAGAAACATAGCGCTTGGCAGCACACTTCAGGCTGCGCGCGGACAAGCCCCCTCCCCCACACGTAGTCCTGGCGGGCCTCGACACACTCAGGTCGGGCATGTCCTCCGACAGGCGGATTGGGGGCGAAACCGTGCCCCCCAAAAGCTCGCACTATTGTTACAAAGATCGTGCCCAGAACAGGTTCGAACCCTTTGGAACCTCCCTCCTGTAGAGGGACACGCCCGACTGCACGACAGGCCCCTCGAGCAGCCTGGGGCGGTTTCGTTCCCAGACCCCCGACGTCATGATTTTTTCATGACGCGACCCCCAGAGGTCCCGACCCATTCCCCGGGACCGGTTTTTCGTCCTGAATCGTTTTTTGACGGTCCCGAGGCCCGGTAAGGGCCCCCGGAGGCCGAGAATAGCGAAAACTTCCCGTCGTGATTTTTTCATGACTCGAGGGGGTCTGGGTTTCGCCCCCCCGAAACCCTGGGGCGCGCCATGCCCTATAAGGGGCGTCGGCGGCGGCGCGGAGGCAGCAGCCCTCGGGCGCTCCGCGCTCCGGGGCCAGGGGGCCCCGGACGTGCGGCGCCCTGCTTTTTTCCTTGCGGGCTCCCTGAGGAGGAGGAGGAGGAGGAGGAGGAGGAGGAGGAGGAGGAGGAGGAGGAGGAGGAGGAGGATTCCATGCGGGGTCCCTGGGGTCCCGACCCCTTCCCCGGGACCGGTTTGAACGCGTTTCTTAATTTTCGGCGATAATGGGAATTATATGCGGGAGGGGAGGGGCCAAGGGGGGGGTACAATGTAACGCCTCCCCCCCGCCGTGCGCACGGCGGCAGTGCCCGGAGCGCACTGGGGGGCGAGGAGCGGTACGTTATAAGGGGGGGAGAGGGGGCCGGGGGCTTGGATGCCCATTATGCCCAAAGCAATGAAGAAACACTCTGCACAAGGTTGGGGCCCCAGACATGCGACGTTCTGTTTTTGTCCATGCGGGGTCCAGGGAAGTCCCGACCCTTTCCCCGGGACCGGCTTTTCATCCTGAATTGTTTTCTGACGGTCTCGCGGCGCGGCGAGGACCTCCAAAGGCCGAAAACGGGCATAAACCTGCCGACCGGATTGTTTGGCGACGCGATCCTGTCTGGGGCGCTGAGCCCGCCCCAAGCTACCCGAGGGACATGCCGAGGCAAAGCGGGACTGCCTGGGAACGCCGCCCGTGCGCACCGCCAGCGCCTTGCCAGGAGATCCGACGCTGCGAAGAAGTGCGACAGCGCGCAAAATCACGACCCGAACACTCCTCCTCCTCCTCCTCCTCCCCCTCCTCCTCCTCCTCCTCCTCCTCCTCCTCCTCCTCCTCCTCCTACTCCTCGTCCTCCTCATCCTCCTCCACCTCCTCCTCCTACTCCTCCTCCACCTCCTCGCCCTCCTTCTCCTCCTCCTCCTCCTCCTCCTCCTCCTCCTCCTCTCGTCCTCCGCCTCCTCCTCCTCCTCCTCCTCGTTCTCCTCCTCCTCCTCCTCCTCCTCCTCCTCCTCCTAGACCCCATCTTTCTGCGGCTTCCTTCGATACGGTTCGATCTCATTCCCCGGGACGGCTTTCTCGCCTCGAATCGTCCTCGAGGGTCCCGAAGGCCCCCCAGAAACCAGAACCTGTCCAGCACCACCCGCCGCGATTCTGCCCTGACCCGAGCGAGCCCCGAACGAACGGAACCTGGCGCAAACGCCGGCGAACACCCAACGCCCAGATCCGAAGGTCCCCAGGTGAGGCCCGCACGGCGGCCATCCGCAGTTCGTCGCCTCGGCGCCTGCAGCCAGCGGGCCAGCGGCCGCCCGTGGCGCGAGCGCGCGGCGCGCGCGTGCTCGGCGCGCCCCGCGGCTGTCGAGCCGGCGGGGCCGTCGCGCGCAGGGCGCTGGCGCGCGGGGCGCGTCGGCGCAGCGCGCGGCGGGTTGTGGATCGATCGGGGGGCCAAGAGCTCTCTCCTCCTCCCTCCTCCTCCCTCCTCTCTGTTAGTCAGCCTCCCTCCTCCCTTTGCCCTGCCCCTCCTCCCTCGTCCTCCCTCCTACTCCCTCCTCCTCCTCCTCCTCCTCCTCCTCCTCAGCCCTCCCTCATCCCCCCTCCTCTCTCCTCCTTCGTCCTTGTCCCTCCTCCCCCTTCTCGACGATATCGAACCAATATGTACGCCAATACGCACCCACCCTCATATCCTCCTCCGCCTCCTCCTCCTCCTCCTCCTTCTTCTGCTGCGAGCACTCTCGGGGAGTGTTGGCAGAGCCCAAATCATTCAATTTCCTATCGTGCTGCTTGGAGCATCTCTGTTCGAACC